AACTGCATGGTTCAACATCAGGAAAGGAATTTATATGGGATGCATCCTGTCTCCAGTCCTTTTCAATCTGTTTGTGGAACAGATCATTAGGTAGGCTGGATGGACTTTATGAGGAGCAATGTGGAATTAGAGGAAGACTCAGCAACAGCCTGCGTGATGCAGATAACACAACCTTGCTTGCTAAAACTGAGGAGGACCTGAAGTATTTGCTACAGAAAGTCAAGAACTGGATTCGACTGTATGGATTAAAGCTCAACATCACAAAAGCGAAGATTCTCACCACTGAGTCAGATGGCAACTCTGTGATAGATGGAGAAGAGGTTGATGTTTACAATTTAAATTTGCTTGGATCTACACCCAACAGTACCAGCAGTCAAGAAATAAAAACACTAATTGCTCTGGGGAAAGCTGCTGCCAGGGTCCTCTCAAAAGTGCTGAAGAGAAATGATGTTAGTCTGGAGACTGATGTATGCCTGATTCAGCTATGGTCTTTGCAGTTACTTGCTGTGCATCAGATACCTGGACAATAAGTAATGATGACAGAGAAGAATCTATGCCTTTCAGTTGTGGTGCTAGAGAACAGTATTGAAGATACTCATGAACTGCAAAGAGAATAAACAGGTTTGTCTTTCGATAGGGTAAAACCAGGCTGCTTCTTTGAAGCAAGGATTTTGAAGCTTCATCTCACACGCTTTGGTCATGTGGGCGAGAGAGACTTAATTCCTGGAGAAGACCATTATATTTGGATGAGTGGTGAAGAGTGGAGGGACTTCTTAGGAGAGGAAGGAAGGCCCTAGATGAGACGAATTTACCCAGTAACTTGGTGTAGGTGTGTGAGAGACAGTGAGACTGGCTCTAGATAGAGCAGATTTTAGACATGTGAATAGGGTCCCTTTGAGTTGGAGGCAACTTGATGGCACATAAAAACCAGGATAACAAATAGTTTCATCACCATTGTGAGAGACTGAGGAGGGCAATAAATTGAAAAACAAAAACAAAACATTGGGATTAATAACAGTGGAAACCGTGGCAGAGAAAATGTGATGGTGATTTTGGCCACACACGTTTTCTCGGTTCAGCATACCTTTTTATAGAGTTGTTCTTGCTGACTGCCTAATCAGTTCCCTTTCTCCTAGCCTTTACTTTTTTTACGTTTCTTACAAGTAGTTGAAAGGAAGAAAAAAAAACCACACAAGTAGTTGAAAGGACTGAGGGTGCTGGTTTTCAGATTAAATGCTGAAGACAAAATGCATAAATACATGTCAAACAACACATACCTATTGAAACTTATAAAATTATAAAAATTAAATTTTAGTGGTGAAAACTTTATGGAAAATAATGCAAATTTTAAGCACTACAGTCCATATGTTGTTGCTTATTTATTTATTTTGTCTGAAGGAAGAAAAGCACATGTTTTTGTACTCATAAAGTTCATAATCTAACAGGAAAGGTTTTGCCATTCCTGGAATTACTAATTTCATAAATATTATCAAAGAGAAGTGCATGAGACTTTAGCAGTGTTTGTTAGGAGATCTAAACTTGGTGAGACCGAGGGTGATTTTCTTATGAAAGTGATATGAAATCTGAAGTTTGAAGAATGTGATTGTATTCAGGCTAGTCACAAGGGAGCTCTGGTGGCTTAATGGGAAGTAGTTCCACTGCCAATCCATAGGGAAATGGTTTAAATATACCTGCTGCTCCATGGGAGAAAGATGGACAGTCTCCTCTTGTTCAGTAAACTACATGGAAAAACTCTGGAGGTTCAGCTATGAGTTACTTCTGACCTGATGGTACATAACAAAAGCAACAAAAGTACAAATTGTGTTTGTCAGATAGGAGGAAAGAACGTTATAAAGTAGAAAAAAGTATATTGAAAGGCTTACAGAAAGTATCTTCTTGGACTGAAAAGGAGACATTTCTCTTAGATATATACAGAACAATGACAGACAGAAACTAGACTATTTTAAGGCAGATTAGAATCTATAAACATCTTCCAGGAAGGGGGGGATGATATAATTGGTATTCTGTTTATTGTCCGAGGATATTATTGCTTCAGTTGTGCATTTATTGCATTTAGTGCCTGTAAAACATCTGAGAGTAACTGTACCTACTAATTGCTTACCAGCTCTCTCATCATGTGAATTTCATCTTTGTAACAGTACTGGAAATCTGTTGTCTATTTTATGCCTTTAAAATGTTAAACTGGAAGTAATGAACAAACACCCTACTTACTGTGAGGCTGATATGAGGGTAATGTTGACTATGACAGTCAAGGCTGTGGGTAATCTTGACTGAGCTTTAGGTCTCAACAGTTATGTAATGATGTTTTTTTGCAAAATGTAATGTCATAGCCATCTGTCATTTTGTGATCTTGTGTGCTTTTCTGATCATACTGCTTTTTTCCATAAAACCACTTATTGCATGGCAAACTAGCCTCTTGCCTTTGGAGCCCAAGCATATTTATATGTGAGAAGAGAGTGCATTAAAATATTCAATCTCCTGAATAAAGTCTGGCCTGGGGTAAGAATAAGGTACTTGTAACGTTTGCCCTAATTCATATTGTAGAGTAAGTAACGAGGCCTAGACTCTTTAGACTGAGAAAGAAGAGAGCTGGGATAAATATTAAGGCAAGCTAGTATTTAATATATATATTTGTTCTATACCACTGAGTCAGAACTGGTGGATAGGTTACCCTTCAGTGGATTTTCAGAGGCAATTAATTGCATGGAAGGAGTTGTCCATCCTTCTCCCATGGAGTAGTTGGTAGACTTGAACCGTGGGCCTTTGCGATTGCAACACAGCTTCGTGCAAAGTTTATCGTAAAAGAACACACAAAATAATGAAAATTTGGCATTTTGGAATTAAAGGGAAGCATGTTTCTAGAATGAGAAGGTGAAGGCATTCTATCAAATGCTGCTGAGAGGGACATGAGATGAAAACTGGGGAAAATGTTAAATGAACTCAGAATTGCTGGTAAGTATTTATCTTACTGAACGGGGGAAGGCTGAAATAAAAGATGCTGAGACGGTGTGATGTGACAGTTTGTTTGGCAATGGAAGGAAAACATCACTGAGAAAACCGATAATAAAAATTTTAAAAGTGATAATAGAACTTGGTGAACTAATCAAGGACCACTCAGATATGGAAGGACTTATTCTAGTGCCATTTATGAGTAGATTATTCAAGACATGTGGATATAATTCCTAGATATTTAATAGGCATGCTTTTTTTTTCTGTCATGCAGTGTAAAAAAACAAAGCCAAAACCCCTTGCCACTGAGATCATTCTGACACGTAATGGCCCCGTAGAATTGGTTTGTATAGTTTCCATGCCTATAAATTATTACAGATGCTCACTGTCTTATCCTTCTACTGTTGAGCTACTGAGGGATTCAAACTGCTGACCTTTTTACTAGCTAGCAGCAATGTGATTTTACTCATAACACCTCCAGGGTGCCATAATACACTCCCAACTCAAAAATCTTAACTGCAGCTGAATTGATTCTGACTCATAGCAAGGATCCATTAGGGTTCTAAGTTTGTAATAGGAACATACTGCAAGTATTGCTCCTGAGGATTCAAACCACTACAGACAGGCTGCTCTTGTGTCAGCAGTGCAGCATGGTATAGCTAAGGGCACCAGAGCTCCTCTCATACATACCAGTTAACAGTTACTAGAATAATCAGAAAAATTAAGTACCTGCTGTTTGTGCTCCCTATGTTTTACACTATTTTAAATATTCACATTTCTCCTAGAATTATCTCAGTTTTTATATGAAAATAATGAAACTTAGACTGTGCTTGTTAGATGCTACCAAGTCAGTCCTGACTCTTAGAAAGCTGCTAGACAGCAGAATGAAATGCTGCCCATTGCTGGACCAGCCTCACCAATACTGTTGTACCTGAGCCCATTGTTACAGATGCTTAATCTTGGACTCGCTGTATAACTTACATAGTGTTCCCAACTTTGGTGATGGAATCATACTGTGTGTTCAGATACGACCCCAAAGCCCACAAAGCCCATTGCCCTTTTTTTAAATACAATTTGTTATTTAATAATTTAACCATGTATTCATATATCTGTATAAGTATTTATACTTATAGACAGATAATACATATATACTTATTAGAATAATCACACATATTTTTTGGTTACTGTAGGTCTGTTACCTTTTAATAATAATAATTACCCTATCTGTCGTTAACTTCCCATTTACTTTAGGTGAATAAGTGTTCTTAGTGGAACACAACATTCTTCCATGTGCTTATCAGAAATATATTAGTCTTAAAAAAATAGAAATGTATTAGTCTTCCTTCTTTTGTTTTTATAGCTGTAATCATAAAAAGATATTTGGCCAGGACAATCTTTAGAAACATTCCACAGAATATGTGATCCCTATGATGTTATCCATATGTCCACTCTTTTAGATGCTGTTTATTTTCACACATGATGGGTAATAGCTTTGAGGAATTCTTTATGCCACAAATGTCAGTGCAGTATTTCTGATACCTAATAATAACATATTACTTTCAGAAATAAAGAATATCTCCTGTTATTTTTATGTATGTGGAAAACAAACTTTCTTTAGATATGCTTGAGATGGAATCACTTGGGGGTATTTTTTAAAAAATAGCCTTGGCTAAGCCATCAGTGGTGATGTTGATTTAGATGTTAAATGTGTTCCGCGTTCATCATGTGCTTTTTGTATACGGTTCCCAGGGGGATTTTGATATTGTTAGTTATATTTGATTTATTTTGCGTTATAGGTGTTTTGCTTTAGTATCCATTATTTTTTAAATGAGAAAAACCAATAGGAAAATAAATTCAGAATGTTAAAACTGTTTCATTTATCTTCTAAGTGTGTGCATGCATATTAGAAAAAGCATATACATGTATGCACATCTTGACTCTGTAATGTGTTCTCTCTCTGTCTTGCTCATAAAATGTTACTTTTTCCATCCCGAATTCAATTATTAATTGCTTTTTTTGGTATTTCACAGAATGGTTGTTGAGCCAAGTCTCCAAGATGAAAATGAATTCTTGTATGCTGCACAGCCTGAATTACTCAAGTACAGGAGCACTCACCTTCCAGTTGAGAAGGTTACGGAATGGTATCAGACTCGGGCAGAGGAAATAGAGCATTATTCCCGACAGGTAAGGGCACGTGCCAGCCATTGCTCAGCACGGCTTGCAGTGCAGCTGGAGAGTCTGTGACTGTGACCACTAGTGCAAGTGTACAGTAGTGCCAGGAATCATATATGTACTTTGCAGAGAGCAAGACTGTTTCTTAATGCTTTTGTCATTTAACTTGTTTTCAAAAGTTTTGCAACACTTTGTAGATTCTTAAAAGATCAAATGAGCTCTGTTGGCATAGGGAGTTTCACTGCTATTGGGTGATTACTACTTGGTGGCAATGAGTTGAGAATTTAAAGATTAAATACATAAAATAAAAAATGTGTTTTTTATCATACTAGCATAAAACATACTATCATAGGTTTTTCTGTATTATGAATGACTTTTAAACCACATTAATTAGAAAGATTGTACTAATTTCTTGATTAGTTCCTATTGTTTTATAGTTATGTTATTAATTGTTATTTTGACATTTAGGAAACATGTTGACTGTCTTTTCCTTAAGCCCATGTCTGTTTTCTCTCAGTTTTGGGTGTCTTTTCCTAAGTGAATAATGATTACATCAGAGAATTTGGAAGGGAGAGAAAATTGAACCTTAATATATATCCCCTTACATCACTTAGCTCTGCCTAACAGACTGTGACTCTTGGCGTATTTCCTGCCTTTCTGTACCTTACATTTCTCATGGAATTAGGCTTATACCAGAATTAATAAGAACAAAACAAAATATACATCAAAGCATTAAAAGATCTGCCAGTTGAAGTACTTTGTAAATGTAAGGACTAGTTGTTTTCATCATTTAAAATATCTAGACTACCAAATAGCAGAAACAAAGCAGTGACTGTCACGGTGATTCTGACTCATGGAGGGGCTTCCAGAAGGGCAGGATAGAACCGCAATTCATAGGACTTTAAAAAAAAGTTGATTGATTTTTTTCATTTCAGTGAAAGTTTACAAATCATATTGGTTTTTCATTTGATCATATACATCTTGTTTTGTAACATTGCAGTGACTTAGAGTGACCCTGTGAACAACAGATGTAAACCTTTCCCTAGCTGGTGCCAGAATCCGTTATTATTGTTATATACCATCATCAGAGTAGATGTTGATAATTCATAGCAAAGAATGGCAGAATTCAATTTGAAGTGCAGTTTCAGTTCTAACAAACACATGACATTTCTCTTTACTTTCATTCTTGGCTTTAGAGCACTTGTCCTACCGTCAGGCTTTTATTTGACAGGAAGAATGATTGAGAGGGTCTGCTGAGCAGCAGAATCGTAAAGAAGTCAACACCTGGAGTGTTCTTGACGTAGCAAGTATTTTGTAATCCTCCTTTTTCATTCTGAAAATCATAGACAGTGTAATTTATTTAAAAAAAAGTCAGTGACTTAGCTGCAATATAGGGGGTAAATACAATATATATGCTTTGTCATGATCACCCTGGAAGTATGCAGTATGAAATATTTTGGATAAAACAGCTGCCAGAGCTTCTAGCAATTACAGACAGGTTCAGGTGTATGGTGAATTCAAGATTGCAAATGGATGGCAGGGATGTGACTGACTCAGGATCAAGTTTTCAACAAAACATGGTTTATATGATAACAGTGTTTTGAGAAAGTCCAGTGTAAATAAAACCATGTATACACTTTTGTACAAATGTTAAATAATGCTTTTTTCTACTTGATCTGAGTAGCAGAGTTGACATTGGATGTGTGGATTCTTAGTTAATGCTCTTTAACCTTTTAAAGCCTATGGAAGTTTCTGAAATTAAAAATTTTCGGTAGCATTTAAATAATATGTAAACTTCTTGAATCTTTTTGAGTAAATGGAGATAAAGAAAGAAGAATGAGTTTTGGTTGCTTCGTTTAATTATTTTGTGTATTTCAGTTTTTGCTTTTGTTAAAAAACAAAAGCAAACTAAAAAACACACCAGTTATATATTGAGGCTGTGTAGCTTTGCCAGAAAGTGATTCCTGATACAAGTTTATAATTTTCATTTTTAGAGATTTAATTGTTGTGGGACTCATTTTTCCTCAGTGTCTAGCAATGCCTCTAGCAAAACTTGTTTGCTGGTTTAGGAAAATATTGTTTTGTTGAATTATATCCAGTTATGTCTTAGAGTATGTGATATGGTTTTGTAAATTGCATTGAAGCCTACTTTATTTAAAATGTCAGTAATTTTATTTCAAAAGCATTTTTTGAGTAACTGCTTTGGAATGCAACACATTCAAAGATGAGACTTGAAAGACAAATAGGAGTCACAAAATAATTGTGTTAGAAATTTTTAATGCACTTTGTAGTCAAAGTGTTACTTTCATAAAATTGTCATTTATGTATTGTCTTCTTCATGTTGTTGTTGTTACGTGCCATCGAGTCGTTTGCGACTCATAGCGACCCTATGTACAACAGTCCTAAACCCTGCTCTATCCTGTGCCAATCGCACTACCTCTGACACACCCATCCTGATTACTCCAGTCACTGAATCAGTCCACCTCTAGAGGGTCTTCCCCTCTTGCGCTGTCCCTCCACTCTCCCAAGCATGATGTCCCTCTCCAAGGACCTGTTCCTCCTTACAACATTTCCGAAGAATGTCAGACGAAGCCCCAGAATCCTTGCCTCCAAGGAGTAGCCTGTTTTAACCCTCTCCAGGGTGAATCTGTTTGTTTTCCTGGCAGTCCATGGGACATTCAATACTGTTCTCTAGCACCACAGCTCAAAGGCATCAATTCTCCTTCTATCCTCCCTAGTCAATGTCCAACTCTCTGATACATAACAAGTAATTGCAAAGACCATGACTGTATCAGGCACACCTTAATCTCCAGAGAGACACTGTTGCTCTTGAGAGAGGTCCCTAACAGCAGACTTTCCCATTGCAATATGTTTTTTTTATTTCCTGGCTGCTGGTGCTAAGAGTGTTGACCATGTCTTCTTCATACTTGCTGAAAATTCAATAAAGAGCTTTTGAAAAAATATAACTAAAATAGAATATAATAATAAAATCCTTCCAGATGTGAACTTTATTAATTTAAAAAAGAATCTGTTGAAGTTTCGTTGAATTACTCCTGTTTTTTGCCTAGGTTAATGCTACATACCTTTCCTATATGTTCTTTTTCCTCCTCGTATTCTTTCAAACCACACTTTCCAACTGAAAATACATTTCTTCTTTGTTTACTTCATCCTTTCCTGTTCTGTTTTCATTGACGTACTTTTGGTTGACCTTTGATGTTTCATGGCATTCTAGGTTTGGGGTTTTTTGTTGGGTTGGTTGGTTGGTTTTTCCTTCTCTCTAGTCTGCGTTCTAGCCTCCTCTTCTCTGTGTCTTGCCTTCTTTCTGTACCTTCCATTACACCATTTCTACGTTATCCATCTCAGAAAATGTTTGTGTTTTGTGGGAAGTTGAGAATGTGCTTCCATGTGCACATTTATTTCCACGCTTCCCCAGAGGACAGGATTTTGAGAGTACCTGTACTCTCTTGTCTTAGTTCTCTAATGCTGCTATAACATAGATACCCTAAGTGAATAGCTTTAATAATCAGAAATTTATTCTCTTAAATGTTAAGAGGCTAGAAGTCCAAGCTCAAGATACTTCCTGGAGGGAAGCCCCAGCATTCCCTGGAAACTTCAGTGTCCTGTCTCTTTCAGATACCAGCAGGTTTTGTCTAGCAGGGATATGGGTACAAAAAGGATTATTTGGTGATGGTGCTAAAGGTCCCTGCTCTTAGCTCCTTTTTCTTTCCTTTTATTACTAGTAAGGTAAAGGTGTTATGTGCCATACCTTATGGGGAAGCGCCCTTGCCCCCTTTACATACACGTAGGGCTGTGATGAGATTAGAGTGTTGTATTCCTCTATTAATCCTTTTATAGCTGTTGGGCTTAAGAGATCATAGGAAATTATTGCATACTTTTCTTATATTGTTACGTATATGTGTTTTAGGGATCCATGACACTTGGATTCTCTAAACATGCTCAGGATTGTCATTCACCTGTTTTCTCTCTCCTATAATTAGCCTCTTCTTTACTGCTTCTTTATTATTCTCTTTTTTGACATATAAAAATAATGTAAAAAAGTAAAATAATTTCTCATAGCTGATTCTCTAGAGACTTTTTCCCAGGCTGTAAATTGCATGGGAGGAGATTGCCCTTCTTTTCCCCTCAAAGCTCCTAGTGGGCTCAAACCTCCAGATACTTGCTTTGGTTAGCAATGCTACTTCCTGTGGACTCTGCCACTAAAGCACCTTCAATTTTTTAAAAAAAGGATCGTTTTGGAGCCTTCTTTTTTACCACTGCTTTTTTAACCAGCTTTTTTTCATAACAGCATAACACAACTCAGAAGGAACTGCTTTGTTCTGTCCTGATCTTTTTTCATTCATTATTTTCCTACATTATGATTCCTCCTGTTGAAACTAGACACAGTCCAGTTTACCTTTTAATATCATATTCCTTGCATGTATTATTTATCAACACTGACACTGTTCTTTGACACTATTCCTTAAGGTTCCCTCTCAACAATTTATTTAGACTTCCTTGGTACCATTTCCATTTTTTATCATCCTTTTCTTATCCATTCATTTTTCCAGTTACTTTTTTTCTTGCTCTTCTTTCCTAAATAGTGCTAATCCTCGGAGTGCAGCTTTTGTCCCTGTATGATCCATTCATCTCCTTTTCAGATAATATTCTGTGACTTATATACTCACAGTTCTTAAATATCTCTAGCCAAAGACACAGTAAATGTGCAGATTTTGTTTGTTTGAATTTGGATGTATCATTGGGCAACTTTATTAAGATGTTCCAGATAGATTGGTCCATGGTAAAAATAATTTTTACTTTCCTAAATGTCCCTTTCTTATATTTCTCTAGAGGAACATTGTCTTCTCTCCAACTGCTTAGATGAGAAAACAAAAGCACCATTCTAGAGCTCTCTTTCTTACTCTCATTCCTTTTATGACTTACATACATTTGGTAAATTCTTTTAAGTTATAATTTTCTTCTTTCATTTTACCTATAATACTACTTGCCTTAGTTTAGATCTTTAAATGTTATTCAATACATAGCAAGTTTGAGCAAATTAGTGAAGAAAAAAAATTCATTAATGAATGGATAAATATATTTCTGTCAGGATTTTTGTGTTAATACTTGTAGTTCTCACTATTTTTAGTCTAATTCATTTCCTATTCACCATTCATATTTCATTCAACAGTCATTAAATACTGAATATTCTTTCTGAAATATGAATGATGTGCACCAGTCTACGGTATTTAATAATAATACATTTCAGAATAAATTATAAATTTCTTAGTTGAGCAAACTATAGTATGCATGATCAGACCCCTTCCGACTACTGTAGCTAGCCTTATTTCTCATTGCTTCATTTAATTACCTTGTTTTTACCCTGGAACTAATTATACTTTCATAATTATGTATCTTTAATTTCTGCACTGTTCTGTTTTACTTATTCTCCTTTTTTGTTTGATTAACCTACTGATTTCTTTAAGGCTATATTAAGCATTCCCTTCTCTGGGAAATTTTCAGACTCTGTCTGGTTGGACTAAGTATCTTTTCCTTCAAAATCTTAATCATGGATATCACTTAGTTCATTCTGCTTCAATCTCCAGGTAGTCTCTCCTTATTAGATTAGGACGTCTGCCAAGGAAGATATCTCATCCTACTCTATTTTGTCAGTTTTCTAGTGCTGATACTGCTTGTAAATGAAGTATTTCTCTTCATGAAATGAGAATACTTTGTTTGTATTCCTAACTCCTAGAATAATGCTAAGCACCTAATAAGCTCTCAATAAATAAAGAAATGTTAGTGTAAGACTAAGAAGCTTATACTGGGGTCTCCGAGGCCATAATAGTTGGATTTACCATCAGTCAAAAGATTTGTCAGTTCAGTCTGATCAAGTGTGATGAGCCAAATTACAGTGTACTGAACGTCCCGTAAGATTGGCCTAAATGAAGGGGAAGGATTTAACATGAGACAGAGAAAATACCTGTGACAGAGTTTATCAGTGAGCAAATAAGTTTTTAATGTGTTCTTTTTGGAAGGCTCAGTGGAGGTTTAAGTATTGAACATGAACATGAAAGCAAAACCTTAGAAATAAACATTCTTTGTGGATCAGAGTAGTATAGTGAAGATAAAATTAATTTAGAGTTCTAACTAACTGCATTGGTTTTTATTCCTAGTAATATAGTGTAAGAATGATATAAACGGATTCATAAGGCAGTCTTGTCAATTGTGCATTGAGCTACAATTTTAAGAAGATTATATTCTTTCTTTCTTGTTAGTATTTCTTATTTTACTCTTTTGAAATTTGTATGAATGTAATTGATAGAGAACTTTTAATGCTTATATATGAAATAACAATTATGGAGTACTGATAACATGCTTTTGTTGAAAAAGATTAAATAAATCACATCTATTGTATTGGGAACTTTTACTTTGGGATTGGTGGTAAAGGTATATTAAGATACTGTTACTTTTCCATTTTAGGTTGACTGTGCATTGTCACTTATTCGCCTTGGAATGGAGCGGAATATTCCTGGCTTACTGGTTTTATGTGATAATTTGGTTACTCTAGAAACATTGGTGTATGAAGCAGGATGTGACTTAACCCTCACCTTGAGAGAACTCCAGCAGATGAAAGACATTGACAAACTAAGATTACTGATGAATAGTGTAAGTTGTACTTTAACTTTCTTTTAATCATCTCTTATGTGTTTTAACATTTGTCTTAGAGGCAAAATATTCGCCAAACTTGAGAACTTAGTAAATAAAGGAAGATTTCTTTATTCTTTGTTGTTGTTGTTGTTGGGATGCTGAAATGTTATAGATGAATTACTGAATGTGTTTAAACTGTACACTGCCTGGCTGTTATTGTATTGAGTTTATTCTTTCTTCAAATTCATTGATGTCATTATTACTATTACTGTTATTTATTACTGTTATTTCCGTCTACCTAGGAATACTTTTAAACTCTATGGTCATTCTATTAATTCTTTTACTTTTCCTTTACTATGTTAAAATTTATAAATATGTATGTCATTCAAGGGATTTTTTTTTTACAAAGTGCTGAAGCCCAAAGGGTTAAGTAATAATGTGAAGAAACATCCTGCCTTTGGATTAAATATATTTAGGAGAGTTTTCCCAGCCCTTTTAATATTTTTCCTGGGTAAACTGCTTTCTTCACAAAATCATTACCTGGTTTACCTAAGCTTGTTGTTCTTATTAGGTGCAGTTGAGTCTAGTAAGACCCATATTGGCAAACAGATCTGAACCTCCTTCATCCTGTGCCATTCACACAATTTCTGACCCACTCGAGCCCACTGCAGCAGTCACTGTGCCAATCCATCTGACTGAGGGGCTTCCTCTCTTTTATAAACTTCACGCATTTCCCAGCATGATTTTCCTTGTTAAGGAATAGCCTCTCCTGACAACATACTCTGAGATGAAGTTTTATCATTTTTGTCTCCAAGGAGCACTTTGACTGACCTTTCTTCAAGATTATATATTTATTCTTTTGGCAGACCATTGTATATTCAATATTGTTATCCAACAACATAGTTCAAAGACATAAATTATTCTGTCATCCCTATTCATTGTCCAGCTCTCAGATGCATAGCAAGTGATTGAAAGGATCATGTTCTGAATCAGGCATACCTTAGTCCTTAAACTGACATTATTGCTGCTCGATAATTTGGAGAGGTCCTTGACTGTCAACATTCCCAGTGCAATATACTTTCCCAATGTCTTCTGATCTGCTAACTGCTGATATTAAGGGTATTTATTGATTGTGGATCCATGTTAAGATGACGTTGTTGACCAATGCACTCTTTTTTCCATCTATCATAATGTTACCGATAGGTCCAGTGGAGAGAAATTTTTTCGCCTTAATGTTTAGATGCAATCCAAATCGAAGTCTGTATTCTTTAATATTTCTGCAGCCAGTGCTTAAAGTCCTTTTCACCTTCAGCAAGCAAGTTGTATTCTACTATACTCTTGTTATTGATGAGTCTTCCTCCGATCCTGATACCTAAAAGAGGCAATTCCTTGGAGAGGGATATCATGCTTGGAAAGTGGGAGAATCGGTGAAAGAGAGGAAGACCCCAAAGAGATAAATTGATACAGTGACTGCAGCAATGGAATAAAGTGTATCAGATATGATGAGGAAGACACAGAATAGGACAGGGTTCAAGTCTGTTACTTTTGGGGTCGTTATGAGTTGTACTCATCTCCTGGCACCTAAAACCATCAAATTAATAATGAGACACCTTTTAAGAGATGCTGTGTGCCAAACTGTTTTTTTTACCCCCTACATTTTCCATTCCATGACAGACATGAATGAGTTTGCTGGATAAAGGGGTAGAATCACAACTGCCACACGTACTTTCTTGCCTCTTTCCTATCTTCTGTTTTGCTTGTTCATGTTCATTCTCTTGTTCACTTTCTCATTCCGCTCCTCAAGTTTGTCCCTCTCATTCATCCCTTTTCTCTCATTTTTTGTTCTTACTTTATTTTTTCCATATTAATTTTGTGTTATTTTGGTAATACACCTTTTGAAAATGATTTATGAAACACATAACTCGTTGACATTATGTTAGTTTTGTGTCATAGATGGTGTGTATGTGAGAGAGAGAGAGAGACTAGATCTGCACTCCTATTATTGGATTTTTTTGTAAGTAAATTGCTGTACCATTGTTGGCTTTTCCCCCATTATTTTGGGTTGAGATTTTTTTTACATTATATTTAATTCATTTTTACACCTCTGAGATTTCACAGAAAGCTTACAAATCAACATTGATTTTCCAATCACACATAATTAGTAATGACCATTGAATGATAGCAATTAACCTTTTATAATCTTTAAGCAAATTTATTGCATATTGCTATGTTTTAAAATATTTCTGGTGGACTCAAATTTCCAGCTTTTTATTAAGCAGACATATATGTTTGTTCTTTTGACTGTCGATAGGATGTTCAGTGATCTTCTCCAACATCACAGGCCAAAGGCTTTAATAATCCTCTGTCATTCATTGTCCAGCTCTCAGCACAAACACATCTTGGAGAGGGCATACCTGCACTGTCCTTTGGAGTCAAGGGTGATGAGACTTCTAACATACTTAAGGGCATGTTGCTAGGAGGCGCTGTTCCTTGGAAAGGAATATGATTCTCGGAAGGATGGAGGGTCAGTGAAGGAAAGGAAGACCCTTGATCAGATGGATTGACACGGTGACTGCTGCAGTGGACTCTTGTGTATCAGGAAATGTGAAGATGGCTTAGGATAGAACAGGGTTCATATAGGGTTGCTATGAGTCATACTCGACTTGACTGACCTAACAACAACAAACAACAATAGCAAGCAGACAGAGAACTTTGTTGAACTATTAGTTAGGGAGTTATGGTGCTAACTCAAATGTGGTAGTTCTCTCTCTGTTCATTTTCATTCTCCAGAGCTTCTGCTGGAGAAAGATGAACAGTCTCTTCTCATGTGATTTAAAGCCTATGAAAACTCACTGCAGGGTCAGCAGTAAGGAAATTCTGACTCAATAATAAGGACTTGTTTTGAGTAAGTTATCAGAAAAGTTAATTTTTGCACCAACTAGCAAAGTGACTCAATGGCACATATTCTATGTATAGGGCTGTTTGTAACAGATTTATTCTTCTCAAATAAAGAGAGTATTTTGAAATTTTAGGTATAGTTAATGAGAATATCATTGTCATTTGAAGTTTTGTGTAAGTGGGTGTAAAGAAGGAAAGTGCCTATACACCATACACTTTTCATGTTAAACTTCTCTTTCCTCTGGGAGGAGGAGGAAGAAGAGCAGGAGCAGTGTATGATTGTCTTCAGAACTGGGCATAAGTTGCTTGGGACCTTTAATAGATTGTGGAAGTAGAAAAAAAAAGGAACACAATTTTGCTTATCTTTGCTGATATTGCTGATCTTAGTCCCATTTATTTTTTTGTTAAGGGTGCTTCTCTAGCTAGTTATTAGATTCTAGGTGAATGATGAGCTAGAGTGTTCCTTATTGACAGAGGGATTTCATTGTTATTTGTGTGTTAGTGTTAGGGCTTCTTGTGTGGTACAATCAGCTATGTAATTTGTTTTAATATTTTTTCTTTGTTTTGATTAATCGTATTTTCAGTGTTCTGAAGATAAATATGTGACAAGCGCCTATCAATGGATGGTTCCTTTTCTTCATCGATGTGAGAAACAGTTTCCTGGTGCGGCTAATGAGCTGTTAAAAGAATATTTGGTGACTTTAGCTAAAGGAGATTTAAAATTTCCCCTGAAGATATTTCAGCATTCCAAACCAGATGTAAGTATCATCTCTAACTTCTTAAACATCTCTGTACTTTTTTCCACAAACTTTGATTTTGTTTATTAAATGTTCACAAGTCCATAAAATTCTGTGTCTTTGTACTGATTTTGGTCCAAAGTTTGCTTATTATGTACTTCAGGTTGGAAATATGCGATATCAAGAATACTAGTAGTTAGTTGGTAGATATTAAATTCTCACTGTATGTTATTATGTGAGTTAATTTATTGAATCCTTTTGGCAATCTTGACATTATTTTTTAGTAGCTGTCAAGCTGCTCTGAATCATGGTAACCTTATATATAATGCAACAAAATGTTACCCAGTTCTTCACCATCTTCTTGATAATGGGTTTGAGTATGTTGATCTCATGAAATCAGATAAAGTAGTTTTAGTTAGTATCTTCCTATTACAGGAAAGGAAAATATACGGTGCAACCAAAATCACACATTAAGTACAAAGCCCTGAATTCAAACATAGACATTCTAATGTATTTTTAACCATTAAGCATTGTTGTTTTTGTTGTTCGGTGCCATTGATGTTAATATGACTCATAATGATTGTATGGACAACAGATCTGAACCCTTTCCTATAGTGTGCCATCCTCGTCATCTCAGACGTATTCCAACCCATTGCAGCTGTCACTGTGTTGATCCACCTGATTGAAGGTCTTCCTCTCTTTTTGCAAGCGTGATGTCTCTCGCCAAGAATTAGCCTCTTCTAACAACATACCCAAAGTGTGTGAAATGAAGCTTTATAATCTTTTTGTTTAAGGAGGACTCCAGCTGCATTTTGTCCAATACATATCTGTTGATTCTTTTGTCAATCCCAGGGATATTCATTACTCTTCTCTAACACCACTATTCAAAGGTGTCAGTTCTTCTTCAGTCATCCTTATTTATTGTCCATAGTAATGCAAGAGTAATTATGCATTGTTTGTTGTTGTTCTTGTTACGTGCTGTCGAGTCATTTGGGACTCATAGTGACCCTATGTACAACGGCCCTAAACTCTGCTCTGTCCTGTGCCAGTCGCACTGTCTCTGACACTCCCATCCCGATTATCCCAGTCACTGAATCAATCCACCTCATAGATTGCCTTCCCCTCCTACGCTCTCACTCCACCCTCCCAAGCATGATGTCCCTCTCCAAGGACGGGTCTCTCCTCACAACATGTCCAAAGTATGTTAGACGGAGCCTCAGAATCCTTGCCTCCAAGGAGCCACCCGGTTTAACCCTCTCCAGGACAAATCTATTTGTTTTCCTAGCAGTCCACGGTATTCTCAATACTCTTCTCCAGCACCACAGCTCAAAGGCATCAATTCTCCTTCTATCCTCCTTGGTCATTATCCAACTCTCTGATGCATAACAAGTGATTGTGAAGACCATGGCCTGTATCAGACACACCTTAGTCTCCAGAGATACCATTGCTCTTCAGTACTTTGGAGAGGTCCCTAACAGCAGACTTTCCCATGGCAGTGCGCCTTTTAATTTCCTGGCTGTTGGTGCCAAGACTGTTGACTGTAGAGCCAAGCAAACTAAAGCTGTGTACAATCTCAATCTTTTCACCATCCATCCTGATGCTGCCAATTAGTCCAGTGGTGAGAATCTTTGTCTTCTTGACATTGAGCCTCAATCCGTATTGTAGACTGCAGTCCTTGACCCTCTGCAGCAGGTGCTTCAGGTCCTCTTCACTTTCAGGAAGCAGGGTTGTGTCATCTGCATGACGCAGATTGTTGATAAATCGTCCACCAATCTTGACCCCACATTTCTCCTCATAGAGCCCAGCCTCCCGGATAATCTGTTCTGCATATAGGTTGAAAAGGTATGGAGATAGGATTCATCCCTGGCGTACGCCCTTCCCAATTTTGAACCATGCAGTGTTCCCTTGCTCTGTTCTGACAACTGCCTCCTGGTCCAAGTATAAGTTTCGCATTAGAACGATCAAATGTTCTGGGATGCCCATTCTTCTCAGAGTCAGCCATAGTTTGTTATGATCCACACAGTTCCCTGATTTCAGCTAAGATCCATCTAACATCAGCTACAGTATCCCTAGTAGCACGACCCCTTCTAAGCCCAGCCTGGACTTCTGGTAGTTCTCTGTTGATGTGCTGTTCCAGTCATTTTTGGATAATCTTCAGTAAAATCTTGCTTGCATTACTCTACTATAAATAGGCAACGTCTGCTTATGAATATCTTCAAAACATTTATGATAATCTTTAAGCTCTCATAAGGATATCTTGTAATAATTTTTGTATTTGTTTGAGACTGCTGCCTTTATATTTTCAAAGAATGTTTGGTGGCAGTTAAGTTAATTTTCTTTAGTGGTCTTGCAAAATGAGTGATATTATTTTAGTTTTAGGTCAGATAGGTTATTTTAAGAGGGAGAGTCCCTTTCCATATGACTTGAGGCATTGCTATTGTAGTGAGTGAGGTTCTGTATGAAATAGTGAATGAAATAGAAGCCATTTCAGTATATTTCAGTTCTAAATTCTAATTCTAGTACTCTTCTTTGTGTCTATTACTCTTCTTTGTACCAGTCCTCATTAATAATCTGAAGTAGAGTAAAATGTGAGATCTTACACCAGTATCAAGTTAGGTTCTCTATTAATCCTGGATGTGTTTGGGTTTTAGACAGGCTAGTCTATCAGAGATTGATTGATTGGCTCTTTGAAAGTTCCCACATTTTCATCAGAAGTTTGCATTTAACATTCAGATTTTAAATTTGAGGTGGTTAACTGCAAGTTGAGTTGCTTATGACAGTGAAATACTGAATAAGAAACAAGATAGATTGAATATGAATCTTTTATGAGAAAGAAGTGACTTTAAATTCTTTCCAGTAATCTTGTTTGTTATACTTCTTCCTTATAGATTCTTGTAAATCCTTTGTATATAGTGAGCTTTTTGTTGTTTTTACTTGACAATTTACCACATAAGTCTTTTGAATAAAACATGCAGCTATTTTCTTTTTCTGAAATATGCAAACATCAAATCACAGAACAGTCTTGTGGCTTGGCTTTTACAATGCAATCTCTATATTTCTATCAGTGCTACTTTCTGTACCACAAATTTGATTATATTATGATCTATGAAGAAGCTTTAGTGATTTATCAGGCTTCATCTCACATACTTTGGGCATGTTATCAGGAGATGCTCTTCTTTGGAGAGGGAAACCATGCGTGGACAGATGTTGAATCAACAACAACAAAAAAGACACTCTAGACAAGATAGAGTGACATGGTGACTGCAGCAGTGGACCCAAATGAGTTAGAGATGATGAGGATTACACAGGATAGGACAGGATTTGGATCTATTTTTCATAGGATCACTGTGAGTCATACTTGACTCAGTGACACATAACAGAAGGCGAAATGGAGGTTTTATAGTTTAACTTTTATCAGAAACCCTTGAAAAATCCTTTACAGTTGGTTTTTCTCTCTGTCTCATCATTCCACATTCCATTGAGTGAACTTATTGGTTCACTTAAACTGAACTTCTCATCTTTTCACCCTTTCAGATTCTTTTCTGGATTTCTGCATGTATTTAGAATGTTGTTCACTCTTTATTTAACAAATGCTTGCCTGTCATTTAGAATCTGCCTCATTAAGATCTCCTCTTCTATGAACTTTTTCATAACAGTCTGTCGCATGACAAGGATTGCTACCTACTTCTTATTATAACCTATTGAAATTAGTTACTCATTTGTTTTTCTCTTCTAGACTACTAGTTTCTAATTTGTTTGGTCTCTGTTTCTCCTCTGTCTCGTTAATTTCTGTATTACTAGGGACTGTAATGATGTCTGGTAGAGAGCAATTGCTCAGTTAAATTTTGTCAGGGTGAGTGAGTGAATAAAAGATTGTAACTGGGTTTTATTATGATTCTTTTGATTATTGATTACATATATTTGCCTTCCTCTGCAGGGTGATATTAGGAGCATTGCTTGTATTTTTCTTGACTGTTGATAAAAAGATTGTATGTGCACCTGATATGAATCATGCAAAAAATATTTTCAGTAATATAGTAAGTGTAGTAATTTCTATTATCAGACAGCTTAGACTAAATTATACCCCAGTAACAAATGGCCTCTATATCATGGTAGCTGACTAGGAAAACATTTATTTTTTTCATAACTGTGCATGCCAGGTGTACCTGATGCTTCTGCTGTATTTGCTATCTCATTTATTCCAGAATTGAGGTGGAAAGTATAGTTCTTTCTTGTTTGTGCACAGGAACAACAACAATAGTATATTACACAATAGCTCTTTAAAAGTCACTCCTGCTATTTCTCTTACATTTTATATGCCAGAGAAAATCCTGTGGCCAAGATTTATTGAAATAGGAAAGAACAATTCTCTCACAGGTGGAAGAATGTAAATAAATTTACAAATTATTTTGAGTAAAAGTTTACAAATAATGTTGGTTTTTCATTCGTTGGTAGACTTCTATTTAAAAAATGTCAATTACTTACATATTGTTGTTGTTCTTGTTAAGTGCTGTTGAGTCATAGATGACTTATAGTGATCCTGTGAACGAAAGACCTGAACACTTTCATTGTTTCTCCACGTTCATAGAGGCAAGCTATTTTGGAAGTCGATGCAACTTCTGCTTCCCATTTTGTTTTAATCAGGGAGCTCCACCAAACATTGTCCACCATAGGTAACAATTACCAGATTTGACACGTCATTGTCACAGTGTGTAGCATCACAGCAACCACGAGTTACCACTGTACAGCAAATGGACAGACCAGTGCTATACCACTTAGATCATTGTCACAGTGTGTAGCATCACAGCAACCACGAGTTACCACTGTACAGCAAATGGACAGACCAGTGCTATACCACTTAGAAGAATGGTTGGCCAAAACCAAAATCTGGCCTGAGGACCACAGATTAAAATCAGCCACGTTTGGCTTGGTAGCATAACTAACTTCTATAAATAAATAATTATGATGTCCTGTAAGCTCCTTATTGTATGTTTCCCTACTGTTTGTCTAACTTAATCAGT